ACATGTTTTATAAACTTGTAAAGTTTGTTCTATACATTTTTCTCACACATTCTGTATTTTAAAACATGTTCTATAAACTTTTTACATTTTGTTCTATACATTTTTTAAACACGTTCCGTAAGACTGTCAAACACTTTCTCTTTAAAACACATTCTATTTTTAGCGCAATTTCCATTCTGGAGAATTGCGATTATTAACTCGTCATTTCTGGGAATGGATGGATGGATGGATGTCCGCAGCTTTAAGTCGTATGTCCTCCTCAACGAAGCAATATCAAGGACTAGTTCCAAAGCAAATATGTTAAGCAAGTTCCTGGGATGATTGTGGGCCAAAAAAATTCCCGGAATTCCTTCCTGGATTTCCCGGAAAAGCCAAAAAACCTCGAAAAAATGCCGTTTTTGGCTTATATCTCGGCAACCAGACCACTTAGCGACTTGAAACATTTACCAATCGATTCCTGCCATAATATAGAACAATATTGCCGAAGAAAGATTTCAAAAATATCCTTTCGTTTGGTCAAAAAAAAATATTATTACTTTTTTAAACTGAGCTACCTGTAGGCTTTTTTCCCCCTTTTTTTCGACTGATACGGGAGGCTAGCCAGTCGCAACGTGGGATCGTTCGCGTCACTGCGCGCGGCAAGAGAGAGAGAGAGAGAGAGACGAGCTACGCGTCGCTCGTTTTTTTCCACGTGCTAATGTTTACAAACAAGAGGGCGGGTTTTATTCATAGTCAAATACTGATATAAACGTTTTAATATTTGGGCACCGTTGCTGAATATATGATTTATCTCGATTTAAAATTGTTATGGATAACAAAAGGAAATTGCGCTTAAATTGTCACTAGACTTTTTATTAACTTGTTTTCATCATACCTTCTATAAACTTTTCAAATGTTTTCTGTAAACTTGAAAAATTTTTCTATACAATTTTAAACGCAGTTTTACATTTTTAACTAATGCATTCTATACACTTTTTACGCACAATCTGTTAACTTTTATAACAATTTCTATAAACTTCAAAGACTTTTATTCTTGTAATACATATATATTAATTATCCTAGGAAAAAAAACAATCGCAGTAGCTCATTTTGAAAACGAAAACAAAATACTGCAAATGAAAATAAGAACCCTTTTAAAATAACTGAAATAGTAAATACTAAGAGAAGAAAAAAATCAATGCAAAAAGAAAGATGTGTACAAAATTTAAACCCAACATACGTTACACACGTATATTTTAATTGCTCTAGGGATGGTGAATGCTGTCCAGAAAGAAATTCTTGTAGCCAAAAGTCCAAACGTCTTCAAGTCTTGTCGAGATGTGAAGAACTCGACACTCCCAAGACTACTGATCCAACTGTCGTCTGGTCTTGTCGTCATGTGTGACACTGTGACAGATGGAGGCGGCTGGACAATTTTCCAGCGTCGCGTCAATGGATCAATCGACTTCTACAGAAACTGGACGGAGTACAAGTACGGGTTTGGAGACTACAAGATTGGAGACTTTTACCTGGGCAATGAGAACATTTACTGTCTTAACCTAATGTATCCTCACGAGCTGCGAATTGACATGACTTACAAAGGGGTCAGCTATTTCGCGTATTACTCAAACTTTACACTCTCGTCTGAAATACAAATGTACAAGCTATCTGTCAACGGCTACTTAGGGACAACTAAAGATTCCTTCACCGCTGACAACAACAACAACCAAAAGTTCTCCACGTACGATGTGGACAACGACAACGGTGGTAACTACAGCTGCGCTGTCGTGTACCGCGGGGCGTGGTGGTACAACAGATGCCACACCGTCCATCTGAACGGTGTGTGGAAAAGTCAGGTCAACAGCAAGGGTTTAATGTGGCAAAGTGTCACTGGAAACTACGACAGTGTTAGTAGTTGTGAAATGAAAATAAGACCACTTTAGTAGTTGTGAAATGAAAATTAGACCACGGCAGTAGTTGTGAAATGAAAATTCGACCACGTCAGTAGTTGTGAAATGAAAATAAGACCACTTTAGTAGTTGTGAAATGAAAATTAGACCACGTCAGTAGTTGTGAAATGAAAATTCGACCACGTCAGTAGTTGTGATTTACGGAATCGTCACCCACCCCACCCTCACGCCTCCTATATATTTTGAGCTATATTTATTGGAATCACAATCAGTTATGGCTAATATTAACTCCAATTAGCCATTCTATGAAGATTTACTATCAGCGCGGACCTTTCAAAAGCGCCCACCAACACAACAAAAACACCCATGTAACAGCCAGCATTCCTTACTTAGAAAAGAAACAACTTGTATTGAAACCAAGTTCAATCCCAAATAAATCACGCTTGATGTGTTAGATAAATGCCGCCTTTATGAATTGCTTTATTAAAAAGACTGGTGCCAGTAAGTAAGGCGTATTAGTGCTGTGTTGGGAAATTGCCAGATTACACGCTGTCTGCAAACTTGGCTAACTGACAGAGATCTTATTCATTTGTTTTCACGTCAGATTTAAAGTTAAACAAATCGTCAGATGTCCCGTGCATGCTATTTTTAGACTACCACATAATCTTGGTTCAGTGCCATGTTGCTAACGTTATGACGTATGTTGATATATAAAATGAATATCACCTCGCTGTGACAAGAGTTGAATGAAAGTTTCAACATTTCTGATACGTACAACTTCAAAGAGAATAGATTCAGTAAGTTATGTTTTTTTTTTTAAATCAATGGTCAGAGTTCTAGAGAAGAGATGAAATTTTACATTCTATTAGAATTCTAATATTTATATTAAGTAACAGCCGTTAACAGTGTTAATGGTTTCCTTGTTATTTATTTATGGCTTCAAGTCTGACGTTCTTGTGACAAAAGATCTAATCTAAACACTTTTATTACATTTGTTTGCTTGTAAACATTTAGCTTGATTTCTGTGTCGTTACACTTTAGCGACCATAGATTCCTGTTGATTAGGGCACTAAAACAAACTCTAGCGACCATAGATTCCTGTTGATTAGGGCATTAAAACAAACTCTAGCGACCATAGATTCCTGTTGATTATGGCATTAAAACAAACTCTAGCGACCATAGATTCCTGTTGATTAGGGCACTAAAACAAACTCTAGCGACCATAGATTACTGTTGATTAGGGCACTAAAACAAACTCTAGCGACCATAGATTCCTGTTGATTAGGGCACTAAAACAAACTCTAGCGACCATAGATTCCTGTTGATTAGGGCACTAAAACAAACTCGGCTTTTAAAACATTGTCAGCTTAGATTGTTATAACTAACAGCGCTAATTGTATGCCAGTCATTTTCTTTTGGAAACTCATCCACAACCCCCCCCCCATCCTCAATTGCAAATGTATGCAAAACAATATGATTTATAATAGTCGATTTATAATAGAGCATTACCAAAAACATATTGTAATGATGTTTAATCTACTAACTCAAACCTTTGCACATCCACACCCATATTAAAGCTCATAAATAATTACGACCTATAGCTCAAGCGAAATGGGTCTATGTCTAAAATCTAAATTCTAGATCTTTGAGACAACTGCGTTAATAAACTGTCTAGACTATATTTAGATCTATATCTAGAATCTAGTCAAAGTGCTCTACTCTACTAAACTAGGCCTACTAGAATCTAGAATTTACACTTTAAAAGACTTAACTTTAAATTTAAACAGTGTAAGTTGTAAGAAATCTAATTTCTGTTCAAGATCAATCAAGATCTGCATTCTATAAGAGAGTGACTATTTTTAGTTTTACTTCTTTAAACTTAGACGCGGATTTGAACTCACAACTTTTAAGTTAGCAGCCTAGCATTCAGGTTGTGGCTAAATATCTTTCATTCATTGATATATAATGGAATAACTATTCATATAAGTAAAGGGTGTTGTATTTCTTAACACAATCTTATCTTAATTACATGACTTTATTTACTTTATAATACTTTTAAAGTTTAAAGGGTTACTGTGTTTATTTAATCTTAATTGTATACTTTCAGATGTTGAAGTTTTGACGGCTGCTGTGTGTTCAAATGCCATTTCTTCCTAACAAGAAAAGAGGTTGTGTTTAAGGACAACATTAAAGTGGTTGAGCTGTGTAAATATTGTAAGCTATATTTAATTCTTTGAATTTTGATAAAAATGTTGATAAATGTTACATAATTCAATTTATTTTAACTTAAGCTCATTTTTGGTGTTATATTTTAAATTTAAAAAATATGCAAGTACTCAGCTTATTTGATAACATAAATTGTATAACAAAATTCAGCAACTCTAATGATTTTTTTTTTATCACCACACTCTTATTAATAATAATGTTAACAAATTATTGTATTATCATTATGTAATATACATGTATTATAAAAATAGGATATTAAACTTTGGTGTATTTTTCAGAGTATGATTACAAGGTCTGATAGCTATCAGTTTATTCTAACAACCTTTGTTTCAGAAAAGAAAGGTGTGTAGTGTATTCAAGGCTCAAGCTGAATCATTAAATATAACTTTTTTTTATAATTAATACAAATCTAAAAAAAAGTTTATATAATGTTTAAGATTATTACTGGTATATAATGATGATTATTTTATATTACAACAGCATTGGTTACCAAGATCAGGTAAGAAATAAGTTGATTTAAATTCACTTTAAAATGGTCAGTTAATTTATTTTACAATTCTGAAATCATCTATATTAGTGCTTGTCAAGCTATACTGTTACAAAATGTGTCTACTGTTTAAAAAATGTAATAATATTAATTAATCATAGCTTTATTTAAAAACATTAACATTAGTTAAAGTGGCCTTTTTTTCACATTGGCCGCTAAAAAGAAACATTAACATATTAACCAAAGGGCGATTAAATATTAAAGACGTAGTGAGGAATCAAAATGTGGAAATATCTCTGTAAATATGTCTGTAAAATTTACATGATTTTCTATTATTTAATTGGCATTTGTGTCATTATGTGTTACTACAAGATAGACATTTAATGTTGACATTATTTCAGTTGTGGCAAGCTGTGAAATTCAGAATAAGCAAATAATGACTAACGAATCAGGTGTATTCCTTCCAGGTAAGATTTACTAAAGTATAAGGCAAACATAATGTAAACAGTTAAATATATGTAGCGGTATAACATCTAGATTGCTTTTGTGAAGTTTATTTAAATAAAATAATTTAATATGATATATAGCATTTATTTTTCTAGAGACATAAATCATTTGTTCCTTTAGGAAATCATGAAGCTGAGATGTGCTATGGTGGAGAAGCTGATCTACACAAACATGTTACTGGCTGTAAGAAGAATCCAGGTCACGAAGGTTTTATACCTCTTAAAGATTTCAATGCAAGTTGTCTCCGCTCACATTACCATGACGACGACCTAATGTCTGAGACAATTAAAACATTGGCAGCCCTAACTGTTCAGGTAAAGACTAAATTCACCAGTCTAAAGAGACCAGAGTTTTACCCAGGCACTCAAGTTCCATATCCATGTTATAAGGACAGAGGAAGTTACGTGATGAGGTTAGGGACGGGGAGGGTGGAGAGTGTGAGCAAGTACACAGAGAGTGACGAATCTGGAACTTGTCGTTGTGCCAAGTGTCAAGTCTCTGCCACACCCAGCAAAGCGTGGGGGAAGGTTGAAGTGATGACAGCCAGACACGTGGTGTTTGATGCCAGTGAGGCGAGACAGACCAGGTGTGTTGTTGGTTTTGATGATAATAAAAGTCCTGGGGTCAGTCTTGATGGCTGGGAGGTGAGGAGGGCAAATATTGAGGGAGACTGGTGTAAATTTACATGTGTGTCGTGTGACTTAGAGATGGTTAATAAACTGGACAAGATGTGGCGGCGCTTTAAAGATCTATGTAGGGAAGTAAAGGACAAATACAGGAGATTTGTTGATGTGGACAAGTTGACCGTTATAGTGTCACATCCTCATGGCTGTCCTAAACAGGTCTCTGTAGGACAATGGACACACAAACATGAGAGGGGTGACTGGATAAGGTACTGGTACACAACATGTACATGTCCTGGCTCCAGTGGAGCGTCTGTCTACATGCTGGGATATGGCGGGTTGCCGTATTCCAAACCCCACAGTGGATCAAACTCTAAAGGAAATTATAGTGGGGAGTATTATTGCTGATGTAACTGTTAGTTCTCTCCCCTTGTCTACACAACGTAAACAAACAAAATGGCAGAATTTTTCCCGTCATTAAACCGTTTGTGTTAAGACCTGCATGTCTGGTTAACATTGTATTACATTTAAATGATTAAAATAAGTCTTGTTTGATGTAAACCGTTTAACTAAATTAATTTACATGATCATTGATGGATTTTAGAATTTTTTTGTTCCAAATGTGTTAAATAATTTCCTTGTAACTTTTGTCGGCAAATTGTTGTCCTACACCTCACCTATTATAGACTTTAGGCTGGCTATTACCTGTAAATTAAATGTAACCTACCTTTAGTAATGTCATTTTCGTACTGTTTGTTTTTGTTTACAAAATGTTCACACTAAACGACATTAAATGGAAAAACAAAATGTCTTACTACTGTTGTTATTTTAATCTTTGTTGTCTGTTGATGTTTAAGTTGTTGTCAAACAGCGTCTATGGTGATGTTGATATTTACGCCAGGCTGTCATGGGTTGTAAGTTTAAACTTTACAACAAAGTCAAATTCTTAAGACCTTTACACATGTAAAACTAATTTGCATGAGATAATAAGAAAAACGTTGAATTCTAATCATTTAAAAATTTTGACACATCGCATACTAGAATTTTTTTTAGATACTTCGTCGCTTCTAGACATGCTCCAATAGAATTGAAAAAGTAGTTTGATGCTGTCATTGACTGACAGTTGTGTAAACATTGTTGTCATTCTATTTGACAAGAAATCCTTGACTGTGATGTAAAACAACATTTGTAAATTTGATAGATCGGCAGTGATAGAACAACTAGTGTGACTTTAAAACATTGAATCAAAGTTTTCAAATATGAAATCTGTAAAGCATGGCGTTTAAAACGCAACTTGAGAAATGGGACGAAATGACATGGTCGAGTAAAAGAGTATGGGCATTTTGTCCCCAAGGACACGAGTTTGATTCCCATGTTCGATTACCTTTCTTGATGCACAGATCTGATGTGTACCTGGACATGTTTGGAGAAACATAATTCGGCTGGGTGTTCAGTAGTGACTCAATGACATGATAAGTCATCGGTATAACACCAACACATGAACTCTACTTTCTACTTTCTCTGCCGAATCGACTGCATGATATGCAAGTTAGTTTTACTTTAAAGTTGCTGATCAGTTTATATATAATATGTAATACAATGTTTAACATAACTGTAACATAAATTCTACTTATGTTCGAATATCGATCAGTGGCGTCGCTAGGTCCGGTGCAGCACTTTGTGGTCTCACCACTACCCCCCCCCCCTCCAAGTCACAAAGTATATAAATATATGTGATATATGTATAGGTTATTAACGATGTTTATCTTTAATCTGTTTATAATACAGTTGGGTATCATCATCCCTACCCCCTTGTAATAATAGCCAATTCGTACTTAAAAGATTATTTATCTTTAATTAATTATTAATAAAAACTGGCAAAAAAAAAATTCTTAAGTACTTTTTGCCTTTTTTTTTTGGCATGGTGACACCCGGCAAATGGTGTCACCCGGCGCGGTACGCACCCCCTCCCCGCCCTAGCTACGCCTCTGATATCGATAACTTGTCAGTTAAAGCAAGAAGATGAATTAGGGACAATATCGGTTTCAAAAGTTCTCTCTGTATGGACAACGCTAATCTATAAATAATGCGAGCTCTAAATTGGAATAAACCCTTTTGTGGTCAAAGGGAAGTTTCTATGAAATAAATATTGAAGGACAAGTATTTACATAGTTCTTTCCCTGTTTCATTAAATTAATATTTTACATTTTTATTTCCTCTTATACGAAGTAGCGTAGAGTCATAGAGAAAGAACTGTAATTGTGCAAAAAAAATCACAGATTTTTACAATTTTCGACAATTTACACGTTCCAGAGTCGGAAAAACATAATTTTGCAATCTTGTCCGTGTTTCTGTGTTCGTGTATGTGTGTCTGTGAACACGATAACTTGAGTACCGTTACAGCTAGGTTGACGACAATTATGTGTGTGTGTGTATGTGTGTGTATGTGTGTATGTATTATATCAAATGTTTAGTTCTGTATCAACATTTAGCGATTTCCGATAAAACGGAAGTGGAACTTATTCAACTTTTCAAATTTTGAATAATTTTCTTTGACTGGAAGTAGTAATTTACGCTATTTCCGATTTCTCAAAAAAAACACATGTGAATTTATAAAGTACTAATAATATTCCGCACTATTATACAAATGTTTGTTTCGGCGTTCACTTGTTGCGCAATGCTTTTTCTACGAGATTCTATTCTATTTTTAAAAATTTAAGTAAGTAAAAATGGATTAAAAATCATGTCTATATCCCGAGTTGCCATCCACACAGTGTTATAGTTAGGATAGTTTTAAAGTTAAAGTTTTGGGGAGATCACTGAATAAAAAATTATTGTCCACGAACCAGCGTGCAAAATACAAGTTTAAAATATTTGAATGATCGTCCACATTCTATGGTAAGATTAAGTCAATTTTAGCATCAAGATCGGTTAGTTGGAGTCATTTTTAAAAATTACTTTCCTATGTTTTAGCTTACATTAGTTCCTAAAATGTAAGCAGTACCTTTGTTGTTAGGAGAAAAAGGTTTATAACAAAGCGAATTAAATATACAACAAGATAAGTGCAACACATTTTTAACGTCACAGAGTATACTGTACATGGAACATATTAAGTAGAGTTCTATTCAACATTTTGACAAGATTCTAAGACAAATTTACCATTTTCTATTGATCTTATTTATCTAAGAATAAACTAAGTGATTTTAAAAGGTGTAATTACATTATAAAATAAATTACAACTAAACATTCCAGCTGTTTGTTTTTGCGTGATACTGAAGTCTACATTAAATGAGAAGTTAAAAATACTTCCAATATTTTTATCCTTTTCTTCATTTCAAACTCTATATCACATGCACAAGACACATTGGCATTTGAAAAACATTGTGTTTGTGTCAGTAAATAGAAATGACACAACTTTTTATATACAAATGTATAACATGAACTCCCCGATCAAGCCATACAATATTTTTATTAAACAAACAATTCTCTTATTGTCTAACCATCGTTAGTGCTCTGTAGTATAATGTAGGATTAAATTTTAAGAAAATTTTCCGTTTGATGTTACTTAAATCTGTGTGTCACTTGGTAACCCAATTAGGCAAACTTCCGGCAATCATAAGCCAACTTTCATGTTGTTTGTCAGCGTAAGCAGCTAAAGAAAAAAAATCAAGTTTCTTGTGCGAACACTTTCAATGTATTTGTTGTAGATTATTTATTGATAGAGATGTCAATCATACAAACGACTTTATTACTTTGCTTTCATTTTAGTGCACCTAGTGTAAAGTATAAAGAAGAAATACTACAATAGAAGTTAAAAACAAAAATCTGAATTTTAAAGCTTTATGTTTTGTTGAGATAAAAATAAATCTTTTAACATTTATGGTGATAAATGGTGATTTTCGTGTATAATTTTGTATAAGCTTTGGTAGAAAACGGGTAAAGGAAAAGCTTTAATCATAATTAATGTATTTTTTTTCTTTTATCTTTTAAAAATATTAATACTTTATAAAATGTCTGCTTTTATTTTTTAAATTCTATGCTATTGTCAGTAGCACAATAGACAACCCGTGCATCCAAATAATTAAAGATTTTGTTTTCCTGAGGTAAAGAAAAAAAATCAATATAACTATAACACATATCATGGGTTACCTGTCATGGGAGATAATTTAAGACATATTTGGTTGCGGCTCCTTTGGGTGAGCAAAGCTTCCCCGTGTTTCCCATGTCATGTGACCTCTGGGACTCTGGGGAGTTACGACTGTGTCAACTGGCACTCAAGCTCCAGACTGCGGATGACCAGGACAGTTCAGTTGCTGACATGGGCATAGGTTAACCAGGTTATATATAGACCTAATCAAGGTATTGTAATTTTATATTACTTGATTTATTGTCATACTTGTGTCGCATGTTGCGGACTATATATGTGAAGTTAATTATCTTTATAATACTTGTTGGTTGTATGTTGTTATACTGTCCATAACACATTCTACTGCATTATTTTATGACGAGGCTGCTAGTTTAGTGAGACTCGACACCCGTGTATTTATGTTATAGCCTACGTGTGGTTGTGTATTCAAGTATGTAATCTATTGTTTGTTTACATTTGATTTAGAGCTAAATGGACTTGTACTTGCACTTTATCTGCCTACCTAATTATGTACTTGCAACTGTACTATTCTATTCAATGCTGTGTATGCAATAACTAAGAATCCAGAAACAAGCAGCAATGTTGTGTTTGTTGCCTCTCAGTGTCAGCCCGCAAAACACACAACACCTTAGTGGGAGATCATTACACCATATATCCACTGGTTACTGGACATTACCCCCCCCCCCCCTGGAAATTACCCCCGGACACCCCCCTGTATTTACCCACCCCCGGAGCAATTACCCCCTGTCAATTACCCCCCCACTGTCAATTACCCCCCCCCCCCCCCATGGGGATTTACCCCCCCCCCTATATACCTATATACTACTTTAATCCAAACCTTAAGGAGAATACCAAAACCTAAGCATCCACCTTAGCGTAAAATTTCACACAAAACCAAAACCAACGCTAGACATTGGTTTAAGCCTAACCCTAAACCTAGCCCTAGCCCTAACCCTAACCCTAACCCTAACCCTAACCCTAACCCTAACCCTAACCCTAACCCTAACCCTAACCCAAACCCTAACCCTAACCCTGACCCTAACCCTAACCCTAACCCTAGCCCTAAACGTAGCCCTAAACCTAGCCCTAATTCTAACCCTAGCCCTAGCCCTAAACCTAGCTCTAACCCTAAATCTAACCCTAACCCTAACCCTAACTCTAACCCTGTCCGGAGGGGAGGGTAATGTCCTACTGGGCGGGGGTAATTGACAGGGGAGTAATTGACAGGGGGAAATGCCCTGTTCCCATCTCCACTGTTGTAGTGTTACATAACTTTTTGAGAAAAATACTTTATCAAAAGTGACATCTATAACAAATTCAAATTTACGAGCTTTAGTTGATGTATTTATGATGAGGTGAGCGTCGAATGTCTGGATCACAAACGACTTATGATGTTTAGTCACTACCTAACATTAGATGAATATTATTTTAACGGTTGCCATCGATGAGCACTGGGTGTTGGTTCCAATTAGACACTCAGCTTACAAGGGGAATCTACCAGTCTTAAGTATTTGTATAGTATCAAACTGA